TTATGGAATCCAAACCACACAGGAATCCTACCAAGATCAGACAAAGGTGTACAAACACAAATATTAATCCATTATCAGAAACAATTAAACTAGAATGGAAAGGGAGGGGGAACCAAAGAAAACCCAAAAGGAAGTTACTGTACTGTACATAGGGAGCGAAGACAAAAGGAGAACCAAAGGGGGAAAGTAAGATAAAGCACCAAGTAATTAAATGCTTATACATACTGTACATGCAAGAAGTGCTAGAAACACATTATATGAGATAGAATTCATGATGTTATTGGTATTACAGAAACATGGAGATGAATGTATCATGAGAGGATATACCCCGTTTCAGAGAGACAAGAAAGATAGAAGAGGGAGAGGTACAGTATAGCACTATTGTATTTACACAGCACTGCATATACTGTATCAAAAAGATTATTCAGTCTCAGAAGAATCAAGAAGTATCAAGTCTTGGAATCTTGTTTTTTTCTTGCTAATGATTGTCAGCTCAATGAACCACTAGCATTCACACAGGTGTGATGGGATGAGCTTTTGTCAAAAACAAAAAAAGAAAGTTAAAAAGTTAACTAAAAGGGCAGAAGAGAAAAGGCTTATTCATTGAGTAATCCAAAATACAAACTGAAAGCTAAAGAACAAAAATATAAAATCTATAGACTTCCAAAGAAAATGCATCAGGTGAAGTATACAGGACATAAAACATGTGAAGAAATTGCTTTTCCTAGAAGTGCTCTGTGTATATTATGGGCACCACGTTGATCAATAATCAAATTTGTTTGCATCCTGACTCACACAGTATCAATCTCACTTGTACTGTAAACTATCGTGTGCATTATGGGTCTGAGTTCACTAATTCTTAACCATCATCAAGGACCCTAGTCCGTAAACGTGATTTGCATCGGGATTGTTTAGAAAAACACATATTGCTTCATACAGGGAAAAGCATTAACAAATAAAATGAAAAAAAAACTCTACCCTTCACCCAGATGATATGGCTTCCATTTCACTGAATTCTGTAATCAGACTTTATTTCATTACATTTGTTATATAATCTTTCTTCTTGTCCTCAATATCTGTGGAGTATAGGAAGGCTCACATCCCTTTTATAACAACAAATACAGTATGAAGTAATGTTTTAGCAAATTTGATCAGAATGCTAATGGTTTACTCAGAAAAGCTACAGTACCACCATTCCACCATTACTTTAAAATGGATTAATCACAATGGACACTGCATACATACAGTATAATAAGAATTAATACAGTTATTCTAAAAAATACAAATGTAACACAGGACATTTTTTCCACACATGGTTTTCTTCTCACAAAAGGGTACTTTAACAAGACTATTAGACATAGTGTACAGTACATAAAAAATCCCACCATGTTTTTTCATTCTTTGTGTTCTCCTACTCTAACTTTAATGTTTTGTATTCACATACTCTGTGCCAAGAGACCATTATATAAATATATATTATCATTCAAACAAGAAGAGAATACAGAACATAAAGAATTGATCTGAAAGTGCAATCATTTATCCTATTTGCCTTTTAGAAAGGCCAGAAAGAATCACATATTGATGTTGTCTACCTAGGAAAGGAGTTACTTCCACATTATATTCTTTAATGACATGCTGTCACTCTGTGCATAATGCAGCCACATAATTAAATTACAGTAAAGCATAGTAAAAGTGAATTTAGAATGCCGCCACTTTCACAATGTAAGTGTTCATTTCAAAATATACTTAAGCTTATTTAAGAAATACTTAAAGTACTATGATTCTGCACTGTGAAATTCCTCCTTCTTATTTTAAGTACATTTATAAATGACAATTTTTTTGCCTATGAAAACACTCAGATGTGTTTCTAGAATTGAATGTTTTTTTCACACAGCTGAGAAATCCATTTAACATGGCTGCTGCTCTATTTTACTTACTTTCAATATCAATGTTAATGGAAAATTATTTAACAAGAAAATACAAAATATGCAGAAGTAAAGAATATTGTGACAGTCATTCTGTACTGACCAGGACAATCTACTACCTTTTACAAATATTCAAAGGTACAGTAAAGCAATTTACTGTTTAGGATATTATTGCTGAGGTTTTAATATGTTTATGTGCCTGAAAGATGGATGCTGGTTAAAGGTAATCAGAGATAAATGAATTACAGAAAAGGAGCAATTAAAATTCATTCATAAATGGAATCACATTCTAATTTCTGTTTTATTCACAAGAATTGAAGTATTAATACATTTCAGTTTGGCTTTGTTCTTTTCTGGCAACATACTGTATATACAACAGCTTATTAGTATATACTAGAGATCTATTAGTTCTAAAATGTTCAGAAATCTGTATGCATTTAACTGTTCCACTCTAAATTGCTCACTACAACAGTGAAGTTTGTGAAAATGAAGACAAAATTAATGACATCACAGGTCTTTGTCTTCTGTCATACCTCTTCCAAACTGGGAGAGTTGCAGTCACTCCCTGGTACTGCTCTGGATTGATAGTCCATTCTTGAAAGAATGTTATGCTTTAAAATCTTGTAGCCATAGGTCATCACATACCAACTAACATAATTCCAAATTTAGACTTCACATTTTATTGTCTGTAAAGAGTCTAACATTTCCTCAGAATACAAATGACATAACTGAAACTGCTCCGTACATGACAATTTGTGCTAAAAACCAGTCCGCGTAGTGTACTGATATCTGTGAAACTGAGGTTGTAAATGGTGCAATGGAACAGAAAATAATAACAATAAATCTGCTGCAAAGTAATTGATCAGTACATATTTGATGAAGACTGAATAAACAGATAAATAGGTGTTATTCAACATAATATTTCCATCAATATTTTTGTGTTAAAACTTATAAATAACGCATTCAGAATAATTTCTGTATAAAATTATAGCAAGTATAATAACTCAGCAACTATGTTGTCTATGTTTATATCAATGTGGTGTGTATACAGTATATCAACTAAGTACATGAGAAACATGAATTAACAAATAGAGCGCTATTGCCTAAAACAGGTCTTTAACTCTTAACCTGGAAAACCTAATCCTGCAAGATTCATACAGTATGTAAACATTAAATCTTTCATTTCTTAGACTTACAGCAATATCATTATCAATTAAGCAGGTGACTTGCTTAATTAATTCATTTAGAAATCATCTGGAACAAAAAGCTGTATGCTCTTGAGGCCTTAAGGACCAAAGTTCCATTAATTGAACAAATTATTTTTTTTTATTGATCAAGTATTTAGTCTTTAAAGGAAGTGATTTAAGGTGCCCTATAACACTTGCTGGATTGAGGCATTCCAGGACCAGGTTTAGAGACCTCATTCTGGGATTCTAAACATCTCAGTCATCAAATTTGCTGTACAACAATAATCAATAATAAAAAAGACTTTAGGGTTTTTCATTGTTACCACCTAGACAGAGAAGGCGAAAACTAGACTTTCAAAGTGAAATCCAGGCAGGTGAACAACTTATTGAAGGTGCTTATTGGTTATTGCTTTCGTTAATATATTCCCTTCTACCCCCCACTGTTAAGAATTAATTCACGGTCCACAAAAATGACATACAATGGTAGATGAGTCATTCTTTAGTTCGCTGGCCCATTTCCACCCATATCCCATACTGTATATAGCCAAATGAAACCAATATACAGCAAATGATCTAATTGCAAATGCACTTATTTTGATGTACTGCTTCACAATGTGCTGCTGTTTAGACATTTCAAACCTGAGACACACCATGTTTATTCATACAAATGTATCTTTTGAGAAATGCTATAATGTTTAAGTTTTCTTTATTGATGAAGATTAATCCTTAACATAGTCCTCGTACTTCTTGCCATCAAATGTTAAACCATGGTTGTTAATGATACTGCATATTTTAAGCATACTGTACGCAAGGAATGTAGGCCTGTTTTTTTCACATCCCTAAATACACAATGTCTTTCCTATTGCATGAGAAATATGCACACATGAAGTGTGCTATATCCTTTTACAGTATAACATATAGAAACTATATTATTTGACTGAATTTTAATTTTCTTTGGTACATTTTTCTTTATTATTCTGTACTTTTGACTGGACTAAATTAATGTTATATACTGTATCTAAAATATTCCACTGAAATCTAATGAAATATATATTTAGTTTTTAATGAAACTTTTAACACCAATAAAAAATAGATCATTTTTAGCTTTATAAACAGATAAGAATCTGAAAGTATGTATAAGGAAAAACATACCATTTTGATTTTCTGACCCTGTAGTGTAATCATTAAACTTCCATTAAAGTATAGTGAATAACAAAAATATATTTGTGCTGAATATTCTTTGTACCTGAAATTATCAGTATAAATCCATAGACTTCTTTAAGCCTTACGGGAAATGATGGTGAATATTATTATTGTTGTTGTTACAGCTTGGACCTACGTTTTATACAAGCTGATTTAGTCATCAAGACCCCTTCAGAAATGTATTTAAGCAAATCCTTAAAAAACATAAAAAGGGGGTTGACATGGAAGATATGAGAAAATCTCTGTATATTTCACTTGGTCACCAGGAGCATTCCATGATCACACTCTCATGGAACAAGTTCAAGTCAGTTACAGTCAAAAGCCTGAGGCAATGCTGGTGTTGAATGGGTTTCAGTCTTGGGTATCAGCTGCTGGTTATGCAGAAACAATCCCTGTAACTTGCAGCATTTTCAGTGACAGGCACAGCACTCCTCCAGAATTAATGCTAACTGTCCTGTAGAATCTGTGGGATTTACAGTGTGAAAAGGGACAGATCCCCCCCACCACAACCACGCAAAAACCAATAGAAAAATTGCATACTCATCACCCCACCAATGGTAGCATGAGGGTTATACAGTATAGATTACCTGTTGATTGTCAGCTATTAGTTTAATTTTGGTATCCTTGTATTAGGTCAGAATCCAAACAATAATAAAAGAAACACTGTAAGAAGATATAAGCTTACTGGAATTGCTGTTGGTAGAATTTGTGTCACTTCCATTGATCCAATTACTTTGAGGTTTAGAGCTGTTAGAGTAGCTGTTGTTTCCTTGGCCAAACACTGCATCCTTTCCACAGAGTAATGTATTCAAACTGCCAAACATATTGCCTGTGAAATCTAAGGAGGAACCCAAACTTAGCAGTGCAGACTTCTGAAGCTTTGAAATCTAAAGACAAAAAAAGCAATGATCTATTAATATTTGTGTTTGCATATTAATACATTGATGTCATTTTTATTGTAGTTGAAAAGGCATACAGTGCAACATACAGTAAGTGTCACACAAATCAATTGATAATAAATACATGGACTGAAATATGAATGAACAATCCTAATCCATTCCTTAACAACAAAAAAAATATATATTTAAATATTTATTTATTTAAAGTTAAATACGTGTTTGTGATGTAGTGAAATGTGACTCTCTGAGGAATGCACTATCTTGGCTTAAAACTCAAGCTCAGTGGTGTGAACTTGAGTCAAGATGACTGCTTGACAATAGAGAGCAGTAGCAAAGGTACAGTAGTTGCAACTGGCCAAATTGAGTCCATAGCACTCGGAGTGAATGGAGCTGTTAGGGTAGGCTCTCCATGGAGTTACCCAGTCATATAATACCAGGCAGAGAGAAAGGATTAAATGAGTCTGAATTATCGACTCCATTGCCTGGCAATGAAATTGAGGAGTTACTGTAGTAGCAAGAGCACTGTATGAGAGGAAACAAGACCTGGGGTTGGAAAGAGGCTGCTCAGTCTTCCCCAGAAGAGCTAGGATCTTGAAGGGGTTCAGAAATAGTATAATGGAATAAAGAAAGAGCACTTAAAATGCTGGATAGTCATGCAACATGCCGCTAGTAGTACAAGGCAGAATTGTCAGGTGTAAGGATTTGCTTTGTCACATTATTATATCTCAGGAATGTTTCATAAAAATTCATAAACCTGCCTATTTCACAAAAAGGAAATACCAAAAACTGGCAAACAAACTACCTGTTGATTAAACTCAACTCCCCCAAATCATTATCCTATTTAAGTTACCTGCATTGAATTTTGTACCTATAATTTTATAATACTAAAATTATAGGTACAAATACAAGGATGTTTTGTAGTATTTATTACAATATATACAATGCCCAACAGTCACTGTATATTTAAATCTGTGCTATACAAAAAGTCACATCACCTCATTCTATAAGAGTGGAGATTTTTGCTCCTTGCGCTTTCCTGAGTGCTTTGTGCAGTATATTGATTAATACAAAAATCAGGCTACAACGGCTGACACTTGTCATGTGGAGTGACTTAGCTGAATGATTATGTTTAATGAAGATATATTTATGAAACAAATGGCTAAATGCATCTACAATTCCATGGTATTAAATATAAAGATGTTGTTATCTAGCTGGTTATGTTTATTTGTTATAAAATTAGATCTCTTTGAAAAAAATAAATTTGAGATTACAACAAACCTTCTCAATTACTGGTAATACATCAGATGTTGTGTTTCCAATTAATGGAAGAATCTCTCTGGGGTTTATAGCAAGAGCCCTGGGTATCTGAAAAACAGGAGACAGACACGTCACACTAAATGAAACAAGTCCATGGGTAGGTAATTACTGTTCTACTATTGTCCCACACAGTAGATGCATTGTAAGCTTGTGAAAATGCTGGAATTGATTTTATTCAACTGGCTTGCTAGAGAGCTCACATAGGCTACAAAAATATTTATAAAGCCAATATTACAGTTTTGTTATTGGATTGATATTAGAGAAAACACAATAGACCAGAAATGGGCAACTTCACCCCCACATGCCTTAAGGGGCCTTTGTCCTTTATGTTTGATTCTACTGCTGATCCTATCAAGTAATAGAGTTAAATATCTGTATAAGAAGTCAAACCACCTTTAAATGTAGGTCATAATCGCTAGCTAATTGATAACTACTTGTAAAGTCTGAGTTACCCATTCCTGTCACAAACAGACTGCTTCACAAAAAATCCTTAAATTACACAATAGGGATGAATTTGTGTTTCCATAACAGTGGTATTCTAAATGGAATTCCAAACAGACTAAAGAAGTGTTTACATAATTAAATTCTTCATTATGATTATGCCTCTAGGATTCCCTGTTGACCTTCCGTCCTTTTAAATCAGATACTTCAACTGTATAGAAACAATAAACTCTGAGACATTCTAGATTCAAGGGGACAAGTCTTAGAGCTTAGTGCAATTATAGCAATAGGCTGCCTGTTATTGAGTTCTGAACACATTAATTTCAGCTGCCTAGTTCTAACCAAGGCAATATTAGAACAAGTAAATGGACCTGATAGGAGAATAAAAAAACAGCTTCTTTTACTACCAGCTTTGTGACAATGAATAAAAAACAACTGCTAAATTGGCAAATCAGGTCATATGTGCTGTGGCTTGTCAGTGTCTGTGACTAATTAGGGACCTTCAGCACACCATGATTTCCATCTGGTGAAGTTTGGCTTTAAGTTAAACTTGTATTGTCATGTTGAAATTCTGCAACTTTGCTTCCTAATTTATCCTTAATACTTAAAGCAGCAATCTAAGGAAACAAAGGACATTGACAGAATTACAGTCTAAAGGTATTTTTAACTCTACATTTGGATAAAGCAGTCATGATAATTCTTGTTCATTGACAGCTGTGACTACAGTATGTTGTTTTGTTTTTTGATATGCATATTTATGATGATGATGGATGAATAAGCATTTGGAGATGCTCAGATTATATTCAGATTGTTTTCATTGTTTTCTCTTGGAAATTTTCATTTTGCCTAGGCAAGTGGTTTTAAATGCATATCACTGTTGTTTACATGACCATAATTTATTTTTTCGTTTTAACTGATATAATTATTCAATTAAAAATGTGACATTTTTCAAATGTATTTTACACATGATGAACATATTTTAAAATGGTTATCTGTGCATAACATTGACCTGAAGTACTTAGCAGTAAGTTTTTCTGTGAATTAAATAATCAGACCAGCTAAACATATAAAGAGGAGAAATGCCAAGTCGGATAATATATATTGAGTAAAATGGTCAATGACAGTGAATTTCAGCCAATGATGATTCATGCCATCACTGAACCCCCTCTCAAAATAGTTCAGAGGCCACAGAATGCTGATACTCAGTCAACATCTTATTTTTGTGAACTGCAGTGCTGCCCTAATAACAGCCATAATAACAAATAACTATGTACGAATAGGGTAGCACCATCTTTGCCACGTATTTAACCTGCTGTTTTTATGGAAGAAATAGTTAAGTCAGATATTGCTTCTTTATATTATGTCTGATAACACAAGAAATGCATTTGATCAGAATTTGCTACAATTCTTTATCATATAGCAGTGTTAGTTTTAAAGATATTGACATAATTTCATATATTCTACAGTTGAAACCAATCGTATACTCCAGTTCAGATATTCCTGTATCAAAGTTCTTAGAAACGTTTTACTCCTTGCTTCTCACGTATTCCTGTCTCAGTACCACTTCCTTTTGATATTGTCCAACTCCGTCCAGAAAAACTAAAAATCTTCAAGATAGTAGCACGACCGGTACCAAAGGTTTTTCTACACGTCAACACATTACCAATGCTGATCCACATAGACTGAAGAACCCAACTGCCAATATTATGCTCATATTCTATTTGCACAGCAACTAAAATTACAGTATACTGTATGAAGAACAATAATTTATTTCAATTTCCTTGTTATTTTTTTCTGTTATTGAGCATTAATCATGTACACAGTATGAGTACATTATGCCTTTTTTATATTTATCACATTGCCGGAAATGTCATTTATTTACACAAACAAATCTTTATAACACAAGAAAAAAGTGGACTCAGTATGGTAACTCTAAACTTTAGGCATGCACTGAAAAAGTTTGGTGGCATAGAACTTGAATTATTTTTTAAAAAGAGCAGATGTGCAGCCTGTTTTGCTGAAGTAGCTAAAACCCCAGAGAAATATAACACTTTGGTTTTCATTTCACTACTACTCCTTTGTTTTTTATGTCCATCAGGTGCATGAATATTGCCTTAGCAATTTTAAATTCTGCATACAGTATGTCAACCAGTATCATCTGTAAATTGGTAGAAAATGTGTCTTTATTTCAGTAATCAAAGTTTACCTCCTTTCACCTAATTATGTTCTGTCAGAAACTGACCTTAATTAAAAACACTCTCTTAACCTAAAACCATCCCTACAGTCATTTTAGGTGAGATAAAAATAGACCTTGTTAATAAAGCATTGTGTTGGCTAATTTAATTTAGAATTGTTATAGCCAAAAATGTTATAGAATTATTCCAGCAAAATTTAAAGGTACACTATTTTTAGTTTTCCTTTCCTCTAAAAAATATAACTTCTTTCAAAGCAAAGTAAAAGGCTCTTCATCAAATGGAATTTGTAATTAAGTTATTAATGAACATCACATAAAAGAATGGGTAAATAAAAAATTGCCCTCTTTGTACCTTTTATTATTCTAGTCTATAATTTTGCATTGTAATCTTTAAGCAAATTCCAAAAAGTGCTTAAATGTGGTAAATGTTAAGCTTTAGGAAGTTAAATTCGTAAGTTAAACATTTTAAGAGAAAATAAGGATTTTTAATTTGAATGAACAGTAGCTGAAACTACATTCACGCCAAGGTATTTAAGCCAAAGAAACAGTGTGCGGCCACCTCTACAGCATCAACTTTCACTTCTACTAATTTGTGTCACGTATGTTTAGCACCCTTCATTTCACTTTGTTTCCTTTATTAGGGATGTAATGGATTTTGAGTCACTGAGGTTTCTTAAATGAAAAGTAAAAGAAAACTTTGAATAGCTGATTTCACTTGTTTCCACAGCTTTCAAACAGGGAATTACAGTATAAGATGCTCTGAAAGAAAACATTTTCACTGATGACAAATGTACAAGGAAAGCTTTGGTTCTCAGCATCTGAATGGCATAACTGTGTCCATGTCTGGCTATACTATTAGTTGATAGTAGTCAGGATACCCCAAAACAGCAATTGACCAAGTTTAACCAGATTGAATGGGCTTGGGTCAGGCAGGGTTTCCTTGAGTTATATACTGTACAATAGCAAACCAGATCAGATATGAAGTACAACAATACTAGGCCTTTAATATTTCATTTATTTGCTTTGACCAGTGTAACACACAGAATCATCCACATAAAATTGTATTAACAAAATACTACACAAAAGCAAAAATTGATCTCATTTAGGATAGAAAACATCATGTAAAAAAGAATGAAAAGAGCTCTAAAGACATGCTTATGACATTTCAACAACAAAAACTAAAAAATGCTATTTATTTTGAGTGGTACACATTTATTCAGTGTACCAAAGACTGGTGAGCAAAATGTATGGTGGCAGGCTATTGCTATTTCTTTTTTCTACACTGGTTGACTAAATAAAATATTTAAGGTGGAACCACTGCTTGATTGCACAATTTAATAGATTCTGGTTGATGAAAAATCTTAATGTTGCTGATTTAAACATTTTTTCCATCTCATATACTGTACCTGTATGCATCTTAACTACCTTTATAGGACAGTATACAAGGTGACCTTGATGTATACAATGTATGAACAATGAAAACAGAAGATATTTTTGTAAAATGGATACATTATTAACAGAATACTGTATGTACAAGTGTTTTATTTAAGACACATTTAAAAGTAACATATTCCATGATGGGAACCAAACTCTAAATGGATTTTACACACAACAGTTTTAATCTGATGAAAACCTAGCTTGAGTCAAAACAGCCATTTCCATTACTGTTTTTATCTAAAGTAACAAAATGGGAAAGTCTTGCCTTCCTGATTGCATTGTGTCTTTTCAAGATGCTTACTCTCTGTGACCCTGTAGATAGACTGTGAAAAATCTTTTCTGCTAACCCAAGAATCACTTGCTAAATTTTGTTAGATTCTCGTATTGCACAAATCTATGGGTGTTTGGTATAGTACTTTTTCAATTAGCTTCTGTTATTACTCATTTCTGTGAACGGGGATTAAATGGAAAATAAGATTATCATACTATATAACGGAACAAGTAATAGGTTTATTCCATGCTGAAAAGAGAAGAAAGAAAACACAACATTTCGGCCTTGTAGCCTTCTTCAGGTGTGAGATAGACAGGGCAGTAAGCAAAAGTAATGTAGCAGGAGAACAAAAGCTGGGAGAGAGGAGGAGCGGGAGGAGGGAGCAGGGGACAGACAGAGTGGCCAATCAGGTAGTGTGAAGTCAGGATAGGCGAGAAGAGGTATGAAATGAAAATGACAATGAAAAGAGAATTTAGAAGAAAATCAGTCTGTCATTGAGAGAGGGGGAAAGGTTGCAGGATAATTTTAGTTTCAGTAGTCTTTCTGATGTGGGAGTTAGGAAAACCATCTTTGAGAACACAGACGGAGAGCCTCGACAGTACTACATAATGTATTTGTAATCCTTAAATTAATTAGTATGTAATATCTCAGACATGCAATATATTTATATCATTGACAAATCCTGATTTTGTTTATCAAAGAGGTGTAGGAAAATTGTTTATATACTTTCAGAAGCATAGAAATCACAAAAGCAGACTGATTATGTCTCTTGAATTCGCTAACATCAGATGTTGATCAAGATAATGAAACAGACTCAGGATAGAACAGTATGCCTCAACAGCAGTTTCAGCAATTCTTCAGCTGACACAAAGCTGTTGATTGTGCTGTGAGTTGTTTAAAATACATTGAGTTTTGGGTTTGCTTTCTGAATTAAAATTTGGCGTTTTAAAGTTTTTTAACCTGGTGCCTTTAAGAGATTAAGTTTCAAATTCAGTCGATTGCTCCTTCTAGTGCTTTTTTTGGAAGACTATAAACACCTTCTGCTCACATCATTTCTGATGCAATGAATACTAACAAAGAAGCTTCTAGATCATGCTGTAAATGAGTGAGGGGTTGCTATCCAAAAGCAGAATGTACACTACAGTCCTCCCTTCCTCTGCACTCTTCATTCACTGCCCCTCTCTGACTACCAAGGTCAATGTGTGCTGTAATTATTTCTGCACTGATTGGGATGAAGTGAACAAAAACACCTTAGGGTTATATACCTACCATGTTATTTAGTTTAATATCAATTGTTAAGTCCTGTAATTACAGAAGTGTTGAGCACTTCAAAAATGATGTATTGAGACATATCATTGGCAGGTGGGTAAAATGTTTCCCTATAAAGCCACTTCTGCAATCATTCCACATGTATTTAATTACTCAACGTGTGTCATTCCTTCTATTTGTGATTATAAACGTTTGTGCTAAATTATAAATTCAAGTCCTGCTCACCACACACTGAAATACAGTCTGAAACTGGATTTCATGCTAAAAGAGCATAGACATGTCTATATGACCATGCTAATGTTTGACGTTACAAAGCTTTCAGGTATAAATCTCTTTTTTTATCTATTTCAAACTCACTTGTATTCATTAGCACAAGGTTTCATGAGGTTCCCCTATTAAGACACTATGTTTTCCCTAAAATGCAATTTACTTCTATAAGTTCATGTATAATAGAAGTTAATAGAGATTATATATTGTACTAAAAATAGACTTACCGCCATAGATAGCTTTGACATATTGAGATTTTTCAGTAAAACATCCCTGGTTGTCTCCAGCTTTTGTCGGGAGAAAGAACAACTTATGTTCTGGAAAATGTCTTGAGCTGCTGAAGAGTTCAACTGTATATATTTTTTCAGTTCTGTTTTGTTACAGAGGATTGTGTTTAGGTTGTCATCCATGGAAAGACTTAATACCTAATGAACAGATGAAAAAATTAAGAATGTTATAAACAACAAAGGAACATGAAATTCATCACTTCATTTCTAAAATACTAACTGATTCCAGACCTATAGTTCATTAACTGAAAACAAGTGTTAACAGATCAGTTTCAACAAAAGTATTAATTCATATCACATAAATTATCCTCATTGCTCTGATTATCTTTTTCTGTAACCTCCATACAGACCAATAGCCATTCTGTTTTTATTTCAGTTGACATATTTTTAAGTAATCTGATTTTCAATTTTAAGATTACACAGTACCTTTAACCTGCTAAATCTCTCTTTTTTATGATACTCTTACTTACTGTAAATGTGCAAAGAATAACTGTATTTTTCTTACTTACTCCCAATTCTGTAAGATTCTTGTGTGCTCAGTAATGTCTACTCTACTTTTAGAAAAATGTAAACTAATAAAAACCGTCGACGACCTAACACTTGGTGGATCATGAAGAATTTATTAATTATTACAGCACTTACAAGTGCTCATGCGGGTTTAGAGGATGAATGAGATTATATGCTCTGCTATGTTTCATTGCAAAAACCAGATATCAGCCTCACAGCTCCACCAGGTGCCAGTAATACCCAGGGGAACGATAATTCCCAAAGCTCACATTTAGTGTGTTCCCAGTCCTTGTACACTCCAAAAAACCCCAGACAGAAACTGGGAGAGGGATCACCCCCAAGCCCCACGCTTACATGCAGGATCTTTAACTGTGATTACCGAAATGAGCAAGAACATCAACAGTACTATCAAAAGGAATAATAGTTCATAATGAACAGCAGACCTGTTTGACGTTGTTTTCATCGTGCTTGGATAATCTAGTCTGTAGGAGCCCAGGATGTTATACTATTAATTACATAATAGTAACACACAAATATTAAACTTGCATGCCTTTGAGATAAACATTACCTCTTATTTATAAAACAACAAGGACTGCCCATTTAACAATTACATAGACGACATCATACATGTACATGTTTTAATGTCCAAATTAAAGTTTCTTATCTTTCAATAAGATAAAAATTGGATTCAATTATTTCTCATGGTTCATCTCGTCACACTCTGTAAAAAAAGTACAGTACTCTTTTAGTAGAAACTATCTGGAAATTAGTTTTTCATATTAAACGGTTAGGTGATATCTTGTAAAAACTGAAAAGTTTTAAAGCACAAGTCCTTAGACAAATTCAGAAGCAAAGAAAACAAGTTGTATGTCCAGAAAGGGTTTACCAAGACAGGTAAAACTACAGTACTTTCATACTACAGCAAATGCAGAACAAAGTTAATGGAACATGTGGTTATATGCATATGCAGTAGATGTCACAAGATGTACAATATTCCACAAATATTGAGTAAGGGTAGGGCAGATGCACACCAATATACTACAAACACAAAAAAAAATTAAAAGCATATCGTTGTTCAACCCAGGTATTACAGATCCCAATGGTTAAAAAACAACATGGATAGCATTCTAGAGCTCCGTCCTAGACACCTTACAAACAGGTTCCCAGAGTTCCTTTTTATTTTCATGTGAAAAATCAATTTTCATATGGATATACTGTATGTTATACAGTATGTTTATGTTTATAGTCAGAACTACTGTACATGACAGTGGTTATGTACATTAAGTCAATTTCTTAACATTGTCTAAAAGTACTAATAGAAGAGCCGGTATACAGTACATTGGAGGAGTAACAACACAGCAAACTGACTTGTCATTGCAAAGTCAGAGAGGTCACTGTTAATAAGTCAAGTACTTTTTTCCTGACCGCAGCTCACCTTTCCCTAGGAGCACTCAGTAAATCATGCACATCCTCACAGTCACAGCTGACTCAGACTTAAGGCATGTATGCTCTGTGGGTGATTTCATTAATGGATTACCACAGACATCTGTATTAAGACCACTGCTCTTGCTAATTCATATCAATGATCTAGATTCTTGAGTATTTTGTAAATATGTGAATTTTGCAGATACAAAATAGAATTACAGTATCTAACACTCTAATAACTGACAAGGAAATTGTAAAAGACTGAGTTAAAATTAAATACTGCCTCTGGTATTGAGACTGCTATTGAGATTAATAAGACACATTTTAAAAACGTTATCTTCAGCAAATAGAGAGGTAGGAGAAGGTGGGTGAATTTTGGAACACTGGCAATCTTGTACGATTGATAGCTCTTGTAGATTGATAGATAACAGAAAAATATTTAAGGACTGTTCTATGTTAGCTTGAGAAAAATACAACGAGCATCTCCGTGTTTCGTCCCCATGCGCATGAAATAAAAACTTAAAACTTGAAACAGGGAAAAAGGTAAACTTGCGGATTGCTAAAGCAGGTACTGTAAGTCCCACACTATTGGTGAATGTGTTTACCGTTGGCAAAAGAGCCGACACATATTGTGTGGAGAAAAAGTTGCTAAACAGCTCAACCTGCTGTCCCCTTCGAATGACAGTCACTCGTAGATGTATTGATATGGCAGATGATGTCAAAAGTACGCTGATAGAGCGTGTTAGGATGAGTAGATGCTTTTCACTGCAATTAGATACTGTAAGTCTGTAGATGTCGTTGATTTGTCCAATTTGCTCATTACATTACATATGAGTTTGAGGGCATGTCTCATGAGGAATTTCTGTTCTGTAAGCCGCTACCCACAAGAACTACAGGAGAGCGCATACTGTACAGTATTTCAGCTTCTGAATTAATTTATTAGTTATCAGGGGTGATACTTGGTCCAAAGAGTTTGAGAACCACTGCTATCCTATTAAAGCAGAGAGAAGTAGCTACGGAGAATAAAATATCAACGTGTTTGCAAAACTGAACTTTTTTACAGTTTAAAAATTCATAATATTTTCTGTAAAAACACAATTTCATTAGGCTACTTCAGATTCATACTGTATATATTGAGCTCGAGAGCGCTACAATATTCTAAGTACGAAGTTTTGCTATAAAGCTTTTATTTCGTCACCCTATTTCGACTGATGAATATTCATTTATCTGTGTTGTATTTTGTACATTTTTTTATGTTAAATAGTATGCGTAGTTAATAGTAAAAAGCCTTGACGTATTGTCAAGTTGACCTTATTTGGTTTATTTTGAATGAATGTGAATGAACGCGTTATGATCCTCCTACTGTCATTTGTGTACTTTATGAACAGGCTTTATGAACTGTATTTAGTACTACAAAAGTGTGATTAAACAGCAACATTGCTAAGATTTTTTTTTGTTTACTTCGTCCGTTTTGAGTCGAGCCTGCTCAACATGAATGAACAATTTGTGTCACTACTTTTATACAGAGACAGACGATATGAATTAAATTTCATGAAGCTGCGAGCTGAGAATGAAAAAATATATTTTTTAAAAAATTACCTGCCGATATGCATTTACTATAGCCACTGAAAAAGCAGCATCAACGACGTCCCTTTACCCTTTTTATAACGATACGTCCTTGAATGAATACTGGCGCACTTGACGTCCACACCTGTGCTTCAGAAGTGCCGACATGGAGGAAGGGCTAAGGGCGCAGTGTGATAATTGGGACATGGCCTAAGTGTGACCATATACAATCTGAAACAACTCAATAGTCAAAACTCTCAACAAACAATTGACACCTGCAGGGTTAACACATTTGGGTAATACTGAGAATGTAATACAATAAACATAATTGTATTTATTCTTTATGCATCATTCTATAAAGTGTATTTAGTCATATTTAGAAGATCGATTGTAGAAACTGCAGAAAGTCAAGCATACAAAAGAGATTGTTCAGACTTCACTAGAAGTAGAGTGTTGAATTTTGTGGCATTGTGCATTCTTGGGTTCAACAGTCACCACTTGGTGTTTATGAGGACATCCTTAATTGCACCTATTTGTACTAATCTCATGCATTTTGTCACGATTATAGTCCCCCCTCCTTAAGGGTTCTCCAGCCCTTTCGCTTGAGACTTTATTCTGCGCACCTGATTCCTATTCCCAGCCCACCTTAAAAGCCAGGCGCTGACGCTCATCCGGGCTCTGCATCTGATTTCCGTATCGTGCGAGTCCGGGACCTGGAAGCGCCTGGTCCCGTTAAGGTTTTAATCTCTGTTCCCGTTCCCGTTCCCGTTCCCGTTCCTGTTCCCTGTCCGCCGGTTCTGACCCGGTTTCTGGTTTTAATTCCTAGTTTTGATGGATCTCCTGGTTTTGGACTTACCCATTTGTTTTGGATACTCTCTAAGGATTACTCTTTTGGATTGTTCGCCTCGGCCACACCTCCCCCGTGCACCAGCGCACCTTGGACACGCCCCCCTGTCTTCAGCCCCGTATTCCTGCATGACGTTTCCCTACTGTGTTTCCCCACTTTTTTGGATTGTGTCGTCCGCATAGGGTCCGGAAAGAACTGTTCGTTACACATTTGGGGAACTAATCCCAACTTTACTTACAGACAGTACAATACATTTCATTTGTTGCTCCTGTCTACTACAAATAGACAAATTTAGAACCCTGCTCTCCATTAGGTTGCAGAATCACTGGTTTGATTCTGTCATGATATTATACGACATCATACTAGCAGTTCCTGATAGTACCCTGGATCAGGACAACCTTATTGCATTATTTCTGTGCACTGCTTTAGTGCTTTTAACAAATATCAATAAATTTGAATCTGGAGGCTTCCTGAAACTGCCAAATGCCAAATCATAATAGACAATTACATTTACAACTTTTCTACATATTTATAGGATTTGATCAAATTTAAGCACTATTAAGATCGTAAATGACATTATTACATCCATATGATGGTTATTTGTTTCTTCACATTTTATTTATTAATGTTGATTTCTGTCAGCTTTTGCTTTTCTAATAAACTTTTAATTACATTTCATCAATGAATAAATTTGCATGGAATTTAATCATATTTTCTAATTACTAATGAACAATTAACACATAAAAAAATCTCTAACAGTGATACGAAGTTTCACAGTGATACAAAGTTTCAC